ATGCTTTAATTATGAGCTTTGGACATCTCCGAGCCATTTTTAGGGTGGCTGTGGCCTTTTATGTTTAGGTACTACCTAATAGATTTTGTGACTTCGGTATTTGGTAGCCCGAGTTATCCGAACTCATTTCGGACGATAGTCCCCGAGTAAGGGTAGCCCTTGGGCTCGATAGTCCCCGAATAGAGAAAGCCCTTAGGCTCTATAGTCCCCGAATAGGAGAATTCCTTAGGCTCGACAGTTCCCAAACAAGGGTAGCCCTTAGGCTCGATAGTCCCTGAATAGGGATAGCCCTTAGGCTCAATAGTCCCCGAATAGGGGTAGCCCTTAGGCTCTGTGTTTTAAGAGGTAAAAATACATAATAGCAAGGCGGAAACTTTCTTTCATTTATGTGTGTAAAGTACATGATCAAAAGTGTGTAAAAGCTTGTATTATGTCTAAGATGGCCTACGTGGGCACGGTTCACTTTATTGTTTGGCCCTTACAATAAATCCTAACTACCGCGCCTAAGCTGTTCAAGTACAAATTTTCCTTCTTTCCTTGCCAAGAACCTTAATCCAAGGGTGATGGCCCCCAGTATTCAAGGTCGATCTTGAGAGGGCTCGGTTACTATTGATGTGACCATTGACTCCGATTTAAAACCGGTCTTCGAATCTAAGTTAGCACGATTAACTGATGTTTCATTAAAAACCTTGCGGGAAAACCCATTTGGGACAAAACCGGTTCAAGGAACAAAGAGTGCAATGCATGTTTTCAGACCTAATAGTCACATTCTCCTTTGGCTGTTGCCTGAAGTGTTAGCCCGATTCATAATATTATAAAAAAGTAAACGAGATCGTACCTTAGCAGCAGTACCGCTTTAAGTGCGTCACATTCCAGTTGTTCGATAGTTGTGCATCATTTTCTGCTTCGAGTTTGTACGATCCTTTGCCAGTGATTTCGACGACTCGATATGGTCCTTCCCAATTTGGCCCCAGCTTTCCCTCGTTCGGGTTTCGAGTGTGCAGTGTTTTCTTAACACCAAGTCCCCGATCCTGAAGTATTGGAGGTTGGCTCTTCAGTTGTAATATCTTTCTATCTGCTATTTCTGGGCGGCCAACCGAACTAGGGAGGCTTCACGCCATTCATCCAATAGTTTCAAGCTCATGATCATGGCCACACCATTCGATTCTTTGGTCGCATATTGGAACCTGAGGCTTGGTTCTCCTACTTCAACCGGTATCACTGCTTCGTCACCGTAGACTAACAAAAGCGGGGTGGCCTCGGTACTAGACTTCGAAGTTGTACGGTACACCCACAAGACTTCGGAAAAATTTCTTTCCATTTCCCTTTGGCATCGGTCAACCTCTTTTTCAGATTTTGATGTATGGTCTTGTTTGTTGATTCCGCTTGTCCGTTCCCACTAGGGTGACAAGGTGTTGATAAGATCTTTTTAATCTTGTGATCTTCGAAAAACTTGTTTACCTTGATGCCTATGAATTGCTTCCCATTATCATACAATATCTCGGCCGATATCCTAAACCGGCATATTATGTGTTCCCAAATAAAGTCAATGACTTCTTTTTCCTAGACTTTCTCGAACGCTTAAGCTTCGACCCATTTAGAAAAATAATCGATCATAAATAATATGAATTGGGCCTTACTAGGTGCCCACAACAAGGGACCGACGATGTCCATTCCTAACTTCATGAACGGCCATGGGGATAAGATCGAATATAGTAGCTCCAAGGGTTGATCGATCATCAGTGCGTGTCTCTGATAGCCGTCGCATCTTCATACGAAGTCCTTCGCATATTTCTCCATCTCGATCCAATAATAGACGACCCCGATTATCTTCCGAACCAAAGATTACGCTCCTGAATGGTTAGTGCCTTCGTGAACTTCTCTCAAGACATATTCAGTATCTCCCAGCCCCAAACATATTGCGAGCGGGTCGCCGAATGTTCTTCTGAACAAAGTGCCCTCAAACAAGCTAAATCTGACAGCCTTCGTATGCAGAGCTCTCGATTCTTTAGGATCCGAAGGCAATTTTCCAGTCTTCAAGTAATCTATGTACTTGTTCCTCCAATCCCATGTTAAACTTGTTGAGTTTATTTTGGCATGGCCTTTTTCTACTACCGATTTCATGAGATGCACTACTGTCCCTATACTGAATTCATCGTCATCTACCGATGACCCCAAGTTAGCTAGAGCATATGCCTCACTATTCTGATCTCGGGGCACGTGCTGTAGGGTCCATTCCTTTAATTGATGCAGTGTTACCTGCAATTTGTCTAAATACCTTTGCATTCGTTCCTATTTTACCTCGAACGTCCCATTGACTTGATTTACCACAATGAGGGAATCGCACTTAGCTTCGACCACCTCGCCCCCAAGGCTTTTAGCCAATTCGAGACCTGCCATCATGGCCTCATACTCAGCCTCATTGTTAGTCAATTTCACAGTTCTAATGGATTGCTTAACTACGTTACCCGTAGGTGGCTTCAACACAATGCCAAGTCCGAACCCGTTTGCGTTCAAAGCACCATCCGTAAAGAGGGTCCAGATTCCTGAGGAAGTCCCCGAGGTTAAAAACAATTCCTTTTAGACTTCAGCTATTAAGGCAGGCGTAAAGTCGGCCATGAAGTCTGCCAGATTTGTGATTTGATGGTGGCTTGGGGCCGATACTCAATATCGTACCCGCTAATTTTGACTGCCCATTTGGCAAACCAGACCGAGAGATCGAGCTTGTACATGATGTTCCTCGGTGTGTAAGAGGTCACGACACATATGGGGTGGCATTGAAAGTATGGTTTTAATTTTCTGGAGGCGCTTAGCAAATCGAGCGCCAATTTTTCCAGTTGAGGATACCTTGTATCAGCCTCGCCTAGAGTTCTACTAACATAATAAATAGAAAATTGCGTACCTTCCTCTTCCTGAACTAGGACTCCACTTACCGCCACCTGGGATACTGCCAAGTAAAGGTAAAACTGCTCATTCGCCTTCGGAGTATGTAGTAGGGGTGGACTCCAAAGGTATCGTTTGAGTTCTTCCAAGGCTTGCTGGCACTCCGGGGTCCAAGAAACGTTATTCTTCTTCTTCAATAGTGAGAATAATCGATAGCTTTTGTCTGAGGACCTCGATATGAACCAGCCTAGGGTGGCTATACACCCGGTTAGCCTCTGAACGACCTTAATACTATCCACCACGGTGATGTCTTCTATAGCTTTGATTTTATCGGAATTTATCCCGATCCCCCTGCTGGATACCATGAACGGGAGGAATTTTCCGGATCCGATATCGAATGCGTATTTTTTCGGGTTGAGCTTCATATTGTATCTTCTCATATGTTAAAACAAATGTTTCAAATGGTCCTTTGCTCGCAGGGACTTAAGTAAAATGTCGTCAATATAAACCTCCATTGATTTTTCTATTTGTTCTTCGAACAACCGGTTTACTAGGCATTGATAAGTGGAACCGATGTTCTTTAGTCCAAACGGAATTACATTATAAAAATAGGTGCCAAATTTGGTGATAAAGGAAGTTTTTTCTTGATCGCCCGGGTCCATCCGGATTTTGTTGTACCCGGAATAGGCATCGAGAAAGTTGAGTATCTCATCCAGGCCGTCGCATCAATCATGCGATCGTTGTTAGACAAATGGAAAGAGTCCTTAGGGCATGCCTTATTCAAGTCTTTGTAATCTACGCACATTCTTAATTTATTTCCTTTTTAGACACTACCATTACGTTAGCTAACCAGTCCGGGTATTTAACTTCTCGAATGGAACCTATTTTAAGGAGTTTAGATACCTTGTCTTTGATGAACGCATGTTTGACTACAGACTGAGGCCTCCTCTTCTTTTAAACCGGGTGAAACTTTGGGTACAAACTCAACTTATGAGTGGTTATCTCTGGCAGGATCCATGTCATATCAAGATGGGACCAAGAGAAACAATCTATGTTAGCTGTAAAGAATTGAATAAGTTTTTTCCTGAGCTCAGGAGTTAACCCCGTGCCCAGGTATACCTTCCGATCGGGTAAGTGTCCAATCAATATGACTTGCTCCAGCTCCTCGACAGTTGATTTGGTGGCATCAAAATTATCAGGGGCGATAAACGACCTAGGGACTCCGTAATCATCATCTCGCCTACTCCTTGCTTCTCCAGTTCGGTCGGTGGCAGTATCGGTGATTGCTATTTAGTTTCTTCCATCCTAACCGGCTTCATGTTCTTTGATGGTGAGAGTGCGGACATCAGGATCACCTCATCGACTGCGAATATTTCTTTTGCGGCCGGCTGTTCTCCGTAAATCATCTTGATCCCTCCCGGAGTGGGGAACTTCAGTGCCTGGTGTAGTGTCGAGGGTACTCCTCTCATGTTGTGAACCCATGGTCTTCCGAATAGAGCATTATATCTCATATCCTCTTCAATCACATAGAATTTTGTTTCCTGAATGGTCCCGACGGTGTTCACCGGTAGGGTTATCTACCCTTCAGTAGTTTCTCATACCATGTTAAATCCGTTCAATACCCGGACTGCTGGCACTATTTGGTCTTATAGACCCAACTGCTCTACGACCCTCGATCTAATAATGTTAGTCGAGCTATCTGGATCAATCAACACATGTTTAACTCGAGATTTTTTTATAATTACAGATATTACCAGTGCATCATTATGTGGTTGTACGATACCTTCGGCGTCCTCATCTGTNATATATATATATATATATATATATATATATATATATACACACTATTTTGCACCAACGACAATTGAAAAAATAATTATTAGTCATGTTAACACTTATATGCATTTTTTTGGGTTACATGGACGGAGTGTGAGAATTAAATTGAAAAAGAGAGATGGAACTCAAAAATATATACAAGTCAATATTGTGGTTGGCAACATGTAATAATACTGTAATCATCATATGAAGTAAATATATTATAATAATTATATTAGTCATTACATAATCAGATTGACCAACATATTTTGAATACAAATTAAGAAGGCTATGAGTAAAGGTGAAAATCACCTTAGAACTCCCAGGCAGTAAACACAAAGTGGGCCAAAGTTGGTCTTTATAAGTGTATTGCACTTATAATCACTTTTCTTTCATACTCCAAGTCAAATGAATTTAAGGAAGAGGGGAGGAGTATATGTCACTGACTACTAAAAAAAGGCGGATCCAATATTGGTCCTACGAAGAGCTATTTCCAGGCAATACTACTCATTCTAAATAGAAATATTTTAGAACTCTCTTTGAGTTCTTTCAACTGGTTCACGACCAAGCTCAATTCCTAGTATTTTAAGGTAAATTCCTACAACTATTAGTGTTAATCTAAGTTAGATAACACTTATACTAATGCCAAAATATATTGGGATTATCTAGATTCTAACAAGACCATCAAGAACTTCCACAAGAACTCAAGTCAAGGATTTGTTTGAAAGAGGTAATTTCCTTACCCCATCTCTGGATATAATCATGGATTGAGTATCTTGAAGGTGTTGTGAAGTGAAAATTACTACTTGTGTTGAGGATTTATGCAAAGTCTTAAAGTGGGTAATGTTCAGACTAGGGCTAAATTAGGGAAGAAGATGAATAGTGAAATTTAAGGGAAATTTTGAGTTGAATAATTATTCCACCAATTTCAATAGCTTAATTAGCGCCATAAAACGAATTATTGGACATGGCTTATCGATTAAACGAAGGAATGAAATTTTGGGTGGCTTCTAGCTAGCTTTGGCTACTAAATGGATTATGTTGGATTCTTGTGAGTATGAATTGATGTCAAATAGTGATAGATTGAATGCGTTTGGGACGTCGTTAAGTACGTGGAGATTACGTTAGAATTTTAGAGGCTAACTTGAGGTATGCTGAGCCTTAAGCTATATTGTGTATTTTTTTAAGACTTTATGTCTTGATAGAATAAAATGCATAAGCTTCACCTGTACGTGTGGGACAAGCTTGCATGACTTGCTCCGTGACTCAAGTAATAAAAAACTTGGCATAAAATTTCTAAGAGTTGGAAATACTAACAAGTTTGGTATAATTTTTTTTATGGACTGAATAACTTGTCTTTAGTGCATTGCGACATTCGGATATTTTCTTTATTTTATTATCGACATAAATTCATGGCTCACTTTAGGATGATGGGACAGAATTCTCCTTCTCGATTTTTATTGATGTAACAAATAGAAACACTTGAATTAATGATCGAAAGTTTGGTTACCGAGTCATGGGTGACAATAAATTAATTGATTATTATATACTTAAAACATAGACGGAAGGGCTATGTATCCTTTGATTGGGTCATTGAAACATAGACATAAGGCCTAAGTAATCTATTGTCATATACCTGAAAAGACAGACGGAAGGGCTATGTACTATATTATTATACACATGAAACACAGACATAAGGATTGCGTACTATACCAACGATATTCTGAAACATAGGTGGAAAGATTATGTACCATTCAGTTACTCGGTAAAAGTTAATGGTTCTAATTATACCTTGAAAGATTTATGCTTACACTTGATATCTTTGATAAGTTTAATTATTTAAATTGATTAATCTCTCTTATGCATTTAATATTTTTATTGCGCATCTCTTGCCCCACCATGAGTGATTGGTTATGATGCATATCTGAGTATTTCAATACTCAGGCATCCTTTATTTAATTGATGTCAGCTTTGGCAGACGGTTGAGTGCAGGGCGGTCAGCGTACAAGGTAGAGTTCTTGCATCTTCTTTTTTTTTTTGGTGAGCCCACATTTGTACTCGTGGGACTACTCCATTTCAGTTGTATATTTTGGTATAGTGCGAGCTATCCTCGTAGCTTTATTATCTCATCCGTAGCGTCATAAAGGCTCCATAGATGACTTGTATTATTTTTGGGTTATGGGTACTTATGAGATCTTACGAATGATGTTTTATTTCATATCTTGGTTTATGGTTGGCCGCCCAATTATTCATACGATATCCATTTCACTTCCTCATTTAATTTTGATATTAATTAAATAAATTATTGCATGTGGGCACAATATGTGTGATTTATTATGTCATTTAGGTTCGCTCAGTCTAGGTGGTAGGTACCGGGTGCCGGCCACGTCTCATCTCATTTTGGGGCGTGACATCATCATTAAACTAAATTTATCACGACCCAAACCAATGGGCTGCGACAGGCACCCGGTACCTTACTCAACCGAGTACCAACAGAACGTATCTTTTCGTATCATTCAATCATAGGAAAATGAGACGGAAAATGAGACGGAAAAGTTGCCGTGAGATAACTAGAATAAAATATGTATTACCAACTTATACATAATACATACGGGCCTATAAGACCAAAATAACTACTTGTATACTGAACATAGGCAGACAAGGCCATACAATCTTTTACGTACATGGCATCTGTCTACAAGCCTCTAAGAATATATAATTTTCATAAAGATTGGGACAGAGTCCCGCCATACCAAATAATACACGTCTAAATCATACTAACCAAACAAGAAACTCCGAAGCAAATGGAACGCACCAACATCTTCCGCTGAGCTGATAGCCTACTTAGAGTGCTCTCGACCTGTCTATCGGGACCTGCGGTATAAAATACAGCGTCCCTTGGCAAAAGGGACGTCAGTACAAATAATGTACCGATTATGTAAGGAATGAAAATCAGTAAATAATAGACATGAGAGAAATATGGAGTAAAAGACTTAACATGTACGTCTGCATAGCTCTGTGAATCATTTCATTTTTATAAAGTCATGCATATGCGTATAAAAGCCATACCATACATAGGTATATGTGTTCATAACATCATCAAGCCTCTGAGGGTCTCACATCGTATCATTTTGGCCACTGTGGGCAAATCATCAACGTATACCAGCTGATCAAGTGGTGATGCATATATAACGCCATTACCCTTTCCCGTATCCCATATACATATAATATACGCGTATATAACACCATCTGGTCATGGGTCAATGTACATGTATAAATGCACGAAATGTATAAGAAATACATTAATAAGATTTTCTCGGAATGTCATAAAAATAATATGCCTGTAGGATATATTTTATCAAATACATATTTTTCTGAGACCCATGAACAGAAGATATAATAATAATTCACATGGGGAATCAAGAATATAGACAACCCTAGTATTTCTATGAATAGAGTCATTTATGAAAATTATGCATTTGCTCGTTTCGTTCGTGTCGTATAGATCATGCCAAAAGTAAAGAAGGGATAGCTTTACCATACCTTAGCCAATTCTCTTGACAATTCTTCCAACACATATCAATTTCGCCAACACGTAACGGCGGATCGAAGTAGGAGAAAATACGTATGATGTTCTTGAGAAGGATTGTATCGTGCTCTCTTAGAATTGCAAATCTCGTTGCTATTACGCAGTGTAACTTTTTTTGAAAATTTTGCACAAAATCCGTCACTTTCCTTAGTTTTAATTCACGTTTCTTGTTAATTAGAAGTCTTAGAGATTCTTGGAATTTTAAGCTTCATCCGTAAGCTTTGTTTTGGCAAACTTATGTAATTTCCTCTTACTTTATGCATAATAATCCTTGTAGGCCACCAATTCTCCTACACATGCCACATAGCACATAAGTGAATAGTCATCCTTTGGGCTCTTTATGGCTTCCACATAATGTTTAATAATTATCCAATATCATTATTAATTATCAATTTTCTTAATTTACTTGGAAATTCCCCACTAATCCAATAATTAACTAATTATCCACATAATTAAGAATTACTTCAAATTACTTAAAATACTACTCACTTTAACACACACACCTTACTATCATGGTCACGTGATACCTTATATGGCACTAGTTCATAAATACCAGGTATTTTAGCTCGGGCTGTATTTTATCCCAACATGTCAAACTTCGACGAAATTCATTTTCTTCGATTCACTTACCCTCTCACCTTCACGAATTAACTTATTACTTATTTGAAATAGCGTAATACTTATAATCCTAAAATAAATCTCATTCCCGAATTTACGTCAATTAACTTACGATGAAACATCGACGTACGCAAATGCAGGACGTAACATCTCATTTCCGAGCTTTCATTTATTTATTTATGGCGTACTCTCACTTACAAAAGTATGGGGTGTAACATCATTCTCCCCTTTGAAACTTTCGTCCTCGAATATTGACTGATGCACTTATCATTATCATAACTTATAGCTCTTGTGAATACCTTAATACTCTCCTTGCCATTTAGGTAGTTATTCTATGAATAAATCCAAAGTCCAGGGTATTCCCAACTGTATGTCTCTTTCTCATACCATGGCCTGTGGTCGGAATTCTTCAGATCTTGTAATTCTTGCTACCATCTATCACGCAGCTTGTACGACTCTGACCTTGTAAGTGCACCTATGTGACTCCTCTCCTTTTTCCCTCCAGTTTTTAGCCAATCTCTAGGCTTCACTTTGTAAACATATACAGAGCTTGACAAGTTTTCCCCTGGACATCAATAGGCATACTTGAAGTTCTTTGATCGGTACTTTGTTGAACTTGCAAATATTGCTATACCTTATTTCACAGATCCATTATCCATCTGTATGACTTTACTGCCATAACTCTTACTTTAATTTATCGTTACTGAGGTCTGCTACCAAATTCTAGCTTACTCTTGTTGCTTATCCCATATGTATAAATCTAGGTCTTTTAATGTTTTCTCATTTCTATTCATCTTAAGACTGACGACCTAATTCTCATCTCATACTTTATGACTTCTGTCCATCAATTGTTGATTCACCTCAATATTGATCTACAATATACCACCGATAACTTGAAACTTCTTACGTAATACCTTGCCACTAGGTCTACGTTGCATCAAGGAATATTTGAAGTGGTTTTCCTTATCCACTTAGCCGCTATACTGTACTTCAATAAGCGTATTTTATAGCATCCCAATGTAATTCATTTATACGGGTATTTTAATCCCGTATAATTCATAAAATCCTCTTCAAATCATTACTCAATTTAAGGCCCAAACGTCATCCTTTATCTATCATAATTACATCCTCATTGTATGTTAGGGCAGCATTCCATATCTTCTAAATGCTACTGGTCTTAGACTCCTTTGAGTTCAATCAGGCTATATTGAGCTTTCTATAACTTAGAGAAACCATCAGCTCTCTTATTTCATAGGCTTAATCCCGAGGACTTATCCATTCTCGTCACCTTCTCACTCTCCCTTTTTATTCCTTACTCCTGTCTTCCTAAAACCTTGTCGCTTTACCATACTTTAGCTTGCGACTTACACATATCTATTTATACTACTCGCAACCTTCCTTCAACTTGCTTGCATCATAGATTTCCTTGTGTATTCTGGGACATCAAGCGAAACATCACATCGTCTCTAACCCTTTGTTACTCTCTTAATCAGGCTTTTCGATACCTAGAAACCATAGGCTGGAAGATATGCCACTAACGTTGCTGCTATCCTTCCTGGATACTGAATCTCAGCGCTTCTAGCCTTCTATCCAAAGTATGGACTATTCACAACCTTCTGCATTTGAGTATCTCGTATGCTGTTCACCTTTACCTTACTTACTGTAAAATATCGCATCACATCTTCTATCTCTTTCGTGACCTCCCTTCCACATAGGTATAATTCACATTCACAATTCGAAGCTCTATTATAATACTTGCACCTCTTGTGCATACACAATCCGGTGGTAGCTTAATACTGACTTCTTATAAGGCTGGTACTCTTCTAACTGGCTTTATCGTAAAGCCATTTTTTTGATATGGTTGTTGTACTATATTTCTTGTACCTCTAATATTAAAGTAAGTCTGCAATGTTCTTGATCACGATTTCTATAGTTTTCTGGGTCTAATAATCAGACTCCTAATTTACATGGTTAATGTAACTCTTTAGTTTCCTCTTCCTTCTGATCAACCTTTATATAGGCTTAATCTATCTTCCGATGTACGGCTCCTGGTATTAGTTATTACTTTAGCCTTTCATGTGCTCTATGGAATATCTATGACACAATCTTCTAACAATTCAATCCTTTGTCTATGCCCTGGGCTCAATTCTTTCTTTTACTTATACCGTAGTCTTCTACGGCTGTATGATTGTCATATATATGCTGCATGGATAATACTCTAAAATCTTACGTGCATTCATAACATAACTCACTCTGGATCACTAATCGAATAATTCCTTTCGTTCCTTCTCCACTTTCTTTAAATGTAAGCAATTACTTTTCCTGGTCGTTTTTCCACTTGTTGCATGTATATTTGGCTTATCTTAGTTCCCACGCATGCCGAAATTTTCGTGCAACTCATATGATCTTGAATATTACTTTTGATTTTTCTTCCCGTTCCTTAGCCACAGTAGGTACCACTTCCTTATGGAGAGCATACAATGTTGTTGTGAGACTGTTGTTACAAGACCATATCCTCCTTAGGTTACTGAGCTTAGGTTGAAGCCTTCTTCCTTACTTCCTCAGCTAGTCTTTTATTGTAGTATTTAGGGAGGATCCTCTGATTCTTGTAAAGTTGTGAGCTTATCACATCGTATACCTGATGGAATTTTTGATGTCCTTCCTCGCCTATAATTACCAGTAGTTACTTACCTCCATGCCCTTGTGCTTCTAGGGTTGCTTATGAACTAATATTTTGACTGTCTTCCCAGCGGGATGCTCTTTTATTTCCGTAACACTCATATGGTACCTTTACTACTCCAACTCCTATCTGAATATTTCTCAAGGATCACGATGTCGTATCTGAGAGACTGAATTCCCCATGTTGGGGTTCACTATGTTCATCTTGCACAATCTATTGATTTGTCTGTATCCTCTTGCTTAGCCATAACTAGGCTCTTCCTGGATCAACTACTAACTACTCGTTAGCCCATTCTCATATTAATATTCCACGTAATCTTTCTTTGGGTTATTTCTTTTGCATT